ATGATGTCCAACATTTTGAGAATCATTATTTCATATATTTTATTCAGTTATATAGTTGTTTCAGCGAGGAGCGTAAATCTGGTCACTGTCACTTGTACTCCATCCTGACTAGATATGAAAATTCTCCAGACACGTTGATATCATGTCACATTTGGGTTTCTGCAAGCAGTCGAACTGGGAGATGAGGTAGAGGTTGTAAGGAAAGCATAAGGATAGATTATGGGATGGAGTAAGGTACAACAGATCTGAGTGAGACAAGTAGGTATATCATGGTGGGATTTAGGGTATAGGATTGGTCCAAAGTAATTCTTCAGAACAGCCTGATTGTATAGGGACCACCTTCGATGGTATAGTTTCTAATCTCCAGCGGCCGGGGTTCCACCAGTCATAATGACTCAGCCTTCTGTGTACCTGACAGAGTTAGGCCATGCAGGATACCAAAATGAATGATATAAAAGTTTGCCTTAAAGGAACTTAGTGTCTATTACAGGCGATATATAACTTTTTACAAGATAGAAAATGGTAAGTTTGATAATAGGAATATGAATAAAATCATATAAGAATTAAGAAGAAGAAGAAGACATTACCTACAGTGGACATTTTAGTAAGCACCAGACATTGTACTTGGTGCTTTATATTGTTTGGTTGAAGCACTTGGCATTTTGCCTGACAAAAAGTAAGTAGTTTCTTATTATTATAGCTAAGACTGGTGGTTGAGAGCATGTGCTCTGAAGTTGGACAGTTAGATTTGAATCCCACTTCCTCTTAATTAGCTGTGTAACTTTGGACAAATTAATTAAACTTTCAGTTCTTCATATTTTTCTTTCTTCTGAAGAAAGAGTAGTAGCTACCTAATTGAACTACTATGAGGATTTAATGAGGTAACCTATGTTGAAATCTTAGAATCTGTAACATACCAATCAATATATGTTCATTTTTATAATTATTATTAACAATAAAATTTTAAATCCTGAAAGGTAAGCATGATCCTTATGTATTTATTTTTTTTAAGTAAGCTCTACATCCAGTGTGGAGCCCAACATGGGGCTTGAATTCATGACCCTGAGATCAAGACCTGGGCTGAAATTGAGAGTTGGATGCTCAGCCAACTGAGCTACCCAGGTGCCCCATCCTTATTCTCGAGATGATGTGTCTGTTAGGGAGTGTCTTTGGCTGCATGCAACAGAGACATGATTATGGTGGCTTAACCAAATAAAGGGGTCTTATTTTTTTCTGGAACCAAATCTGAAGTCAGTTTTACCAGGGCTAGTATGGTGGTTCCATGTGGCCACCAGGAACCCAGTCTCCCTTAATCTTTTCGTATAACCATGTCTAACCTGTGGCTATTGTCTATGTATTTGTTGCTTTTTGGTCCATGATGGTTGCTCCACTTCCAGCACTGATCAGAGTTCAGACAGGAAGAATGGAATAAGCAAAAGCCCTGTGCTGGGAGAGTGAGCCAAAGGTCTTTTTTAGGAGACCCATTAGCAACTTCCACTTTTATCTAATTGGTTAGAAGTGTTATGTGTCCACCCTACTTATAAGGGCTGCTAGGAGATGTAGTTCTTTTAAAATCTGGACACCACCCCAAGAAAAATTACATTTTAGTAAGACAGAATTCATTGACTATCATTTAGGCCACTAATGGTATCTCCCACAAATGGGAGAACTGAAATTCAGAAATTCAATTACTTGCTTGAGGTTGTTAAACAACTATTAAGTGATAAAGTTAATATTGGTAGCAAGGTCTGTCCAATACCATTCCACATTCCTTTTGCCACACAGTCCAGAAAACAAGTGATCTTTCATTTTAGGATCTTTGGGTTGGATCTTTCATGGCAGAATATGGACATGAGATTAAAATGCAGATGTATAGAATTTAAGGAGCAAGTAGAAGTAATTATATAGCTCGTTTGGGGATACAAATATAAAGTCCATTTTGATGAGAACTTTAGGATTCAATGAAGGAAAGAAACTGGGGAAAAGACTGGAAAGATGAGAGAAAACTTAAATGGTAGAAATTCTAGAAGGCCAGACTAAGGATTTTATATTTTGCTTAGTATGTGTTACATTTAAAGTCTTATTGAAATGATCCATTAAAGGAGCCCATTGAATCAAAAAGCTTTCTTAGGGGCACCTGGGTGGCTGAGTTGGTTGGGCGTCTGCCTTTGGCTCAGGTCATGATCCCAAGGTTCTCGGATGGAGCAGCCCTGCATCTGGCTGTCTGCTCAGTGGGGAGCCTGCTTCTCCCTCTCCCTCTGCCTGCTGCTCCCCCTGCTTGTGTGCTCTCTCTGTCAAATGAATAAATAAAATCTTTAAAAAAAGAAGCTTTTCTGAAATCTGGATGAAACTTTAAATTTCACAGATTTCTGAAGGTAGGTATAATGATCAAATGGAAGTGACAATTTTTTGATTACCATAATAAAATTGTATAACAAATTTTTGGCCTTGACTACTGTATCTATAATTGCTTTATAGAAACTGTTGGGTTGGGGCACCTGGGTGGCTCAGTCATTAAATGTCTGCCTTCAGCTCAGGTCATGATCCCAGGGTCCTGGGATCGAGCCCCGCATTGGGCTCCCTGCTTGGTGGGAAGCCTGCTTCTCCCTCCCCCACTCCCCCTGCTTGTGTTCCCTCTCTCGCTGTGTCTCTCTCTATCAAATAAATAAATAAAATCTTTAAAAAAAAAAAGAAACTGTTGGGTTTTTACATTTATGTTCTACAAAGACACTCTAAAATCTTAAAGATGGACTTTCATGTATTCAACAAAACAGACATATTTCCTGCCCTTTTGGAGCTTACATTCCGTGAGAGGGAGATAGATAAATAATAAACATAGTAAATAAGTACATATAAACATAAGCACATTATATATGTTTATATGTAAGTATATGTACTTAAATGTATTATTGTATGTATACTATATACTTATACATTAGGTTGACAAGTGATATAGCATAAAAATGGAGCAGAGAAAGAGGGACATATAGAGTTAGTATGGTAAGAGTTGCAATTTTTAAATAGGGCAGCCAGAATGGGCCTCATTGAGAAGGTACATGCAAGCAAATTCTTAAAGACAGCAAGAGGGTCATTCAGATACCATGCAGAGCCGTGCAAATAAGAGGGAACTGCAGGATTGGGCAGTATTCACTATGCCTGAAGGTCAGCAACAAGGCTAATGTGGCTGGAGTGGAGTGAGCAAGTGAGAGAATACTGGGAAATGAGATCAGAAAGGTAATAGGGAGTCCGATCATGTAGGATCCATCATCAAGATTTTGGCTTCTACTCTGAGCAGAAATGGGAAGCCATTGCCAAGTTTTGAGCAGAAGATTGACAACATAATATAACTTACCCTTTAAAAGGATCATTTTGGGGATGCCTGGGTGGCTCAGTCAGTTGAGCATCCAACTCTTGATTTCAGCTCAGGTTGTGATCTCAGAATCATGAGATCAAGCCCCACATGGAGCTCCATGCTCAGAGTGGAGTCTGCTGGAGATTTTCTCTCTCCCTCTACCTCTGTTCCTCCCCCCACTCTTTCTTTCTCTCTCTCATAAATAAATAAATAAATAGGTCATTTTGGCCATTATATTAAGAACAAACTTTATGGTTTATCTGTCTCTCCCCACTAGATTAAAACTTCCGGGGCAGGAATCTTTGTCTTTTTTGTTGTTGTTGTTGTTCATTGATATATGACAGTGGCAGATGCTTAGAGAATATTTTTGAATGAATGACCATCCAGATTTTAGATTTTAGAGTGTCCTTATAAAAAATGAAAACAACCTAAAGAGAGAAGGGAAAGTTGTTGAAATTTCTGAAGAAATACTTTTTTAATTATGTGAATCACCATACATTACATCATTAGTTTTTGATGTAGCGTTCCATGATTCATTGTTTGCGTATAACACCCAGTGTTCCATTCGGTATGTGCTGTCTTTTTGAGTAGGAGAAAGGGGATCTAGTATCTAAGTAAAGGGCTTGACTTTAGATAGGACCGTGGATACCTTATCTATGGATAGATGGCAAGGCAGACTATGTGGGTAAAGATGCTGGTAGGGGGGTAAAAGTGAGGGTGGAAATTCTCTTGATTGCTTCAGTTTTCTCAGTGAAATAAGAGGCAAGACCCTTAGGTAACTGTGAAGATGGGTATGTGGAGGGAAGCATATGGAGGAGAAAAGCCAGTATGAGAATAATTAGGCAAGGGAAATATAATATTAATGGGTCTACTTGATTAAGGGTTCATTTAAGGTTCATGTTCATAAATTGAAAATCAGATTAGTCAGCATATTTGTGTGTTTTTGTCCAATCATGATCAGCAGTGGCTGAGTGTTTATTGAGAACCAGACACTGTTACCTGCTGGCTATATGGAAAATTAATAAAACCTAATCCTAGCCCTATAGGGACTCACGGTGTAGTGGCAGACAGGTTTTTTTAAAGATTTATTTATTTTAGAGAACACACATGCAAGGGGAGGGGCGGAGGGAGAGGGAGAGAATCTCAAGCAGACTCCCTGCTGAGCTGGGAGCCCTATGTGGGGCTGGATCTCACTACCCTGAGATCATGACCTGAGTTGAAATCAAGAGCTGGCCGCTTACCCAATTGAGCCACCTAGGCACCCCATGGCAGACAGTTTTTTAATCAACTAGTTATAAAATTGTGTGATAAGTACTTTCAATTCAAACAGAGGAAAAAGCATTGTAAATCAAAGAAGTTCCAGGCTAGTGAACAATTCAGGTTATGGAGGGAACAATGGATTAGTCTAAGAAGGCAAAGATTGTGAATCACTTCCAAACTCTCACCTCCCAGTGTCCAATCAAAAAGGTATTATGTATAAACTTTGTATAATTCCAATCAGATCCTCTGCCTTGCAACTCATCTTAAAATAGATCCCAGAACTCATAAATATTGCACCTCTGACTTTCCCTGTGAGATCCTAAGACTATCCAGATAGTATTCTCCCGTACTGCAGTAAGCAAAAACCTCAGTTTTGCTTTATCAACAGGTTATTTTGGAGGTATTTTAAAGGAGCCAGCATTTGACGGTCTTGGAGGTCTTATCAAAATCTGGTCACCTTGGAAACAGCATGCTTTTCTGAGGCCTTTTGAGCCTCCTGCACAGGGTCTCTTCAATGACAGTGGTGAGGTAAGTTCATATTGGGTTTGAGCTCTGATTTCTAATTTTTTCATCAAATACCCCAAATGCTAAGTTTAGTTTTGTTTAGTTTGAGAGTGGTATCTAGGAATAAACTCTTTTTAAAAATTCATTGATTGATCAGGTTTGGAAAACTTTTATTTGGTAGAAATCTGCATTATTACTGTCAGTACTACTGTTTGTTTGTCCTTGTCATTTCTTCATTGTGCATCTATAAGAGGAAGTTCATAGGGATGAAAATGGGTGTAAATCCGTAGGTTCAGAAGGTTTCTCTTCAGACTGCCATCCTTTGGAAAAATTGTCTCAAATCATTTATGAAAGTTTTATGAGAATTTTGCCCACTCTTGTCCGTGAAAGTCTGGTTTTCTTTAGGAGGGAGCCCCAAGATTCAGGGTTCACATCTGGCTAAGTGTTGTCAGACTCATAGGTTTATCTTTAGTTTGGTTCTGTAGCCATTCTGGACTGGACTCCCACATGTTAAATGTATTTATGCTAGAATCAAAATGTGTCTTGTTTGCTTTATAAATGATAAAAGAATTATTTGGAATTATAGTTGGTTTTCGGGGGGAACTTCTGATATAAACAAAACTGTTCATTTGGGGAGGTACTTTGAAGCAAAAAGGAAGCAATATCCCAAACATACAGCTGTCTACATTTTAAGGCAAGAGGAAAATTCCAAAATATATTGAAGGGATTATGAAATTGCCTCCTTAAAAGATTCTTTGGCAAAGGCAAGAGAAAAATATGAAAAATTTAGAACTGTCTTTTCTAAATCCTTTCAAATCACAAGTTGAACGTGATCCCTTTATTCTTCTATTTCACTTCCTCCTCCCATGTTCCTACATTTCCCTCTGTTCTGTCTCTCCTTCTAACTTTTTCTCCTTCCCTTCAAAATGCCCCATAAAGAGATAGTTTTATTCCTCTAAAAGAGAAAGATGACTTTAGGGGCGCCTGGGTGGCTCAGTTGGTTAAGCGACTGCCTTCGGCTCAGGTCATGATCCTGGAGTCCCGGGATCGAGTCCCACATCGGGCTTCCTGCTCAGCAGGGAGTCTGCTTCTCCCTCTGACCCTCTTCCCTCTCATGCTTTCTATCTCTCATTCTCTCTCTCTCTGAAATAAATAAATAAAATCTTTAAAAAAAAAAGAGAAAGATGACTTTAATATAAGAAATACCCTCTCATTTTTATACTTAAAGTATTAACAATTACTGGCGTTTTTATCGTATAAAATCAAATTGTCAAGGGGCCTAAATTAATGTTTAAACCAGCTGTAATGACGGACGCCCCCTCCCTCTCCCTCATCCTCTTTTGTATGCATGTATGTCAAAATAGGTTTTCCTGCATCTCAACTTTCCCCTCTCTTTAATTAAGGAGAGATAATTAGTCTTTTACAATGATAATTTTGTCTTTGACTAAAGCTGGCTCCCTCTCATTTTTAATTTCTATTCCTCTTCTTTTCCCTCCCTAGGGAAACATTAAAGATTAATTGATGAAAACAATTATTCTGTCATTATGTGCTCAATCTAGTCTAATGAAGAATTTCTAAAATGGAAAAATCATTAAACTGTATTGTGTTTCTTTTTCTTCAAAATTGCTTTTAAGAGAGATTTCTGGTTAAAACTACAAGAAAAGGGCACCTGGGTGGTTCTTTTGGTTGAGCGTCAACTCTTAATTTTGGCTCATGTCATGATCTTAGGATTATGAAATAGCGCCCCACCTTGGGCTCCGTGTTCAACGCAGAGTATGCTTGTCCCTCTCCCTTTGCTTCTCCCCATGCTCGCTCACGCTCGCTCTCTCCGTCTCTTGCTCAAATAAATAAATAAACTCTTTAAAAAAAACTGCAAGAAAAGAAGAAAAAATCTTGGTTCCAAGATGAAGGGCTTTGAAACAGGATTTAAAGAGTTTTTTTAATTCCATTTATGAATACAAAGTTTATATGTCATGCAGAAAATGTTCATAAAATATTCCTGATAGAGGAATCATTGGACAAACTAGAATGAGTTCATCATACTGGTTTAAAGGATTAAAAAACAGTTCATCTTCCTGACTTTAATATATCACATTAATACTAACACAATATGCTAGTTTATACAAGAAGACTGAACATCTCATAATTTAAACTTTATATATTTCTTGCATTGGTTTTATGGGACAAAATATTATCATTATTTCTACAAATTATTTATGCTACAAAAATTTAGAGTCATGATTAACTAGATAAAATTGTAATGATAGATATCTTTTAGAAGTTTATAGTCTTATTTCTATAATATCAAAAATCTTAAGAACTTTATATTAGGGGCACCTGGGTTGCTCAGTAGGTTAAGTGTCTGCCTTCGGCTCAGGTCATGATCCCAGGGTCCTGGAATTGAGCCCCGTGTTGGGGCTCCCTGCTCAGTGGGGAGTGTGCTTCTCCATCTCCCTCTGCACCCCCCACTTGTGTGCTCGCTCTCTTTCAAATAAATAAAATCTTTTTTAAAAAAGAACTTTATACTTAACTAAAATGGTAATTTCTAGTTCCTTAGCTAACTTAAAGACCTTAGACAAAGGTTAAACTGAGTTAATTGATACATAATCTTTGAATACTTGGACAAAATCTAAAGAAAAAAATGAGTGACATTGGCCACAAAGCAGCTTTATTTTACTGTTATTCTTATATATTTAAAAATAGATACAGATTAGGGCTCCTGGCTGGCTTAGTTGGTAGAGCATGTGACTCTTGATCTCAGGATTGTGAGTTTAAGCCCCACATTGGGCTTAGAGCTTACTTGAAAAAAATAAAAATAAAATAAAGTAAAAATAGATTTATAGGATGTGAAAATGCTTTTGGAATTTTTTTTTAAAGATTTTTTATTTATTTATTTGAGAGAGAGAGAATGAGAGATAGAGAGCATGAGAGGGAAGAGGGTCAGAGGGAGAAGCAGACTCCCTGCTGAGCAGGGAGCCCGATATGGGACTCGATCCCAGGACCCTGGGATCATGACCTGAGCCGGAGGCAGTCGCTTAACCACCTGAGCCACCCAGGCGCCCTTTGGAATTTTTTTTTTAAAGTGGGCTCCATACCCAGCGTGGAGCCCAAAGTGGGGCTTGAACTCATGACTCTGAGATAAAGACCTGAGCTGAGATCAAGAGTCAGACACTTAAGCAACTGAACCACTCAGGCATCCCTGGATTTTTTTATATACATAGTCTCCTTAAAATTTATAAGGACAATAGGACAAACATGCTCATTAGAAAAATAATTCCTTATTTTCTGTTTTCTAGTTTAGTCTAGGGAGAAATAAGTTTAAATGGAGCAAGTAAGGGCGCCTGGGTGGCTCAGTTGGTTAAGCGACTGCCTTCAGCTCAGGTCATGATCCTGGAGTCCCGGGATCGAGTCCCACATCGGGCTCCCTGCTCGGCAGGGAGTCTGCTTCTCCCTCTGACCCTCTTCCCTCTCGTGTTCTCTATCTCTCATTCTCTCTCTCTCAAATAAATAAATAAAATCTTAAAAAAAAAATAAATGGAGCAAGTAAGACTATATTCTGTATAATTACAGAGAGATTGGAATATGTATGCAAAACCATGTGTATGGTTTGTTTCTTATATTGTTGCACTTTGTATGATACATCGATAGAATGCTCAAGTGCGCTTCTAAAAGCAGAGCATCAGCATTAACTCAGAGGCAGCATTCTGAAAGGATGGGTGCCATCCTTGAAGATGTAATATATGCCTTATTTCAGAGAACTCTGTATGTTGCTCTGCTCCTGACAGGAAGAATACACGGGTCCAGTCACCAAGGACAGAAGCAGGAGTAGCCCCGATGACATTCCCGATGACACACTGGGAGAGTTTCTGCTTCCCATCCTTTTAATTCTGGGCTCTGTAGGTCCTGGTCCCCAAAGGGAGCATACTCTTGCCAGGGGGAACACAAAGTTTTTATTCAACTATAAGATAAAGCTGCTGTCAGTACACTTTGATGTCCCTGTACCCAGGCACCAACAGGTAAGAAGAAGCACCAGTATACTGGCCGGGGTGATCAACCCAGATCAGCAGGAGGACATAGAACAGGGAGACTGCAGGTGGAACCCAGATGATTCATTTGGGCACCTTTTGGTATTTCCATGCCCCATTGTAACTGTGAATGGATGCATGCAGCAGTGTCAGCATAAGAACAATATGATTTCTCAGTCCCCTCAGGAATTAAGATTTGAGTCATACTGATGTGGGAAACAAAGGCAAAAGAAAAATTAAATTTCCTTACTACCTACAGCCCATTGACAAGTCCTTGAAACAAGCGGAGTGACATTCCTCTAGGAACTCAGCTACCTCAATGTTACACTTCGCTAAGGGCAAAAGGCAATCTTAGGCTGACCCCCAGGATCCTGTAAGTCTCCTCTAACATATAAAAATTCCTTTGGAAACTTCATCTCTACACCCCAAGATATATGTTGGCAGTCAGATATACATCTGAAGGGGCTCATGACTAAGGTGTTATTAGACAGTAATAGATGACCTTTTCCTAATAATAGCTTGCCCCCTCAAGGTTCTGGAAACCTTGCTTCCAAAATTTCTTAGAGACTTACACTATCCCTAACCCCCTCCCAACTTGAAAGTATATAATCACCACTCCTCATGACACCAGTGCAGCTCTTTCTGCCCATGGGTCCTGTCCCTGTGCATTCATAAAACCACCTCTTTGCACCAAAGACATCTCAAGAGTTCTTTCTTGGCTGTTGGCCCCGAACCCTAACATCTTTCCTACATCAGTACCACTAGTAAACCTCTAAGACCTGGTGAGGTAATGGCTGAGGGTGAGGGAAATTAGAATAGCTACTGGAAGTGGGAGAGCATGAACACCAGTTGTAACTCTAAAGGTCAACTCCAGTGTCAGAGGTTCCTTCTGAGTTTCCCCTCAGGAAGATAGACCCAGAAGAACCATGGAACACTGGCACTCTGACCTGTGGGAAGAGAGAAATCTGTTCAAGGCAAGAGGTAGGCCATGGCAGATATGAAAATGCGCCACTCAGAGCTCCTGCTGCAGATGGAATAATTGAGAAATGGTCCCAGCTGCTGTGCTCTGGATCTACCATGGTGCTTGTGCAGAAGCTGTGCTTCCCACAGGCTGCTCCCAGACAACGGCTGAGATGGCAGAAGTACAAAGATGGTCCCATTTCTGTGAGAAGGAGGACTCTGACTTGAGGTTTCCCCATCAGCCTTGCAGACTTTACTCAATACTAATGAGGCCCTTGCACTGAAGAACTGAAGTTTAGAACCCCCAAACCTCATAAATATCTCACCTTTGCCCTTCCTCCTCAGAGACACTGCTAAGATCTGTCAACGTAGTATTCTCCTTACTGCAATAAGCAAAAAACTTAGTTTTGCTTTATCAACAGGTTATTGTAGTGGTATTTTTAGGAAGATAGCACTCAATAGATAAAAAGGAACCATCATTCAAAAAGCAGAGGGAAGAGCTTCACAGGAGGAACAGTAAATGCAAAGGCCTTGACGTGGAAAAAAGGTATTAAAGGACAGAAAGGCCAATGTGGTTTTAGCTTAGAAGCAATAGAAAAGGTGGTATGAGATGAGGTCAGAAAAGTGCAGAAGGCCTTGGAGTCCATGGTAATTACAGTATCAATTTCATTCTCAGTAAAACAAAACCCATTAGAAGATTTTTAGTGGAGGAGTGATATACCTGGGTGTATATGTTGTAAAAGAATGTATTTTGGGGGACATGAATGGAAATGGGGCCAACAATTAGGAGGTTATTGGAATGGCACAGGTGAGAGCTTAGGTGATTTGGATCTAGAGTGATAGTGATACAGGAAGCAAAGAGAAATGTACAAATTAAGGATATATTTTGGAGATAGAATCATAAGGATTTGCTGATTGGTGGCTGTTGGAAAGGACATGTGGGGATGCATGTGAAGGAAGGGAAGGAATGAAGAATGACTCCCGCCAAGTTTTTAGCCTTGAGCAACTGTGTGAATGGTAGTGAATTCTACTGAGTTGAGGAAAACTGCGGGGAGGCATAGATTCAGAAAAGAAAAGCAAGAGCTCTTTTTTGGGCCTGGTTGGTTTTGACTTCCAAATGGAAATGTTAAGTAGGCCCTTAGAGGTTTAAATCTAGAGTTCAGGATTGGAGATAAACATTTTTGTGCTCTCTCAACATATGGATGGTAATGAGAAACTAAAGAACAGAGAGATCACCTGAGGAAAAAAAATGCAGATAAAGAAGAGAAGAAAAACTGAGGGTTCTAGAGGGGAGGGGTGGGGGGGATGGGTTAGCCTGGTGATGGGTATTAAAGAGGGCACATACTGAATGGAGCACTGGGTGTTATACGCAAACAATGAATCATGGAACACTACGTCAAAAACTAATGATATAATGTATGGTAATTAACATAACATAAAAAAAAAAAGAGAGAGAAGAATGCCCAGGATCTAGCCCTGAGGCCCTCCAACATTTAGCTTAGTTAGAGAAGGAAATACATCTAAGAAGTTAAAAGGAGCACCAAGAATGCTTAAAACAGGTAAATTGAGTCCACTTTGGAATCTGTGAGGAAATGTCGAGGCAGGAGGCATCTCAGATTAGATTAGTTGCTAATTAAAGCAATCTCTTCAATTCCTTAGTTAACAAATACATATTCAGTGTATACAATGTATTATAACAGAGGTGTCCAAGAGACATTACAATATAAGGTGGTAAGTCCTGTCTGAATGGCCCTTAATAAACCATGTTTATATATAAACACTCCCCTACAAGTGAGGCATATCAGATTTTTAGACTTGATTGTAAAAATATTTCAGAAAAGTCTGTCTTTCTGCTTTCTAGTCTTTTTTTTTTTTAAGATTTTATTTATTTATGAGTGAGAGAGTGCACAAGGTGGGGAGGGACAGAGGGAGAGGGAGAGGCAGGCTCCCTGCTGACCCCAAGATCATGACCATGACCAGAGCAGAAGGCAGACACTCAACAACTGAGCCACTCAGGTGCTCCTGTTTTCTAGTCTTTTTAAACCAACTACCTTAAACTTTCAATTTTTATCTTCTTTATACATTATTCAATTTTTAATTTACGTGTCATCCTTGCGCAGGGGCCATGCTAATCTTCTCTGTATCGTTCCAATTTTAGTATATGTGCTGCCGAAGCGAGCACTTCAATTTTTAATTTAATAAACATTAAACTTTTTTACTTATTTTGCTTTTACCTAAAATATGGTTAGGTGGCAGTAATAAATTCTGCCTTTAAAGAGATGATTAGAATTATATAAATATATTAACTATCTTAGGAAGACCCTTCCTGTCTTTTAAGATTTGATTAATATTTGAAAATACATTGTAATGCTTTGATATTCTTCAAAAATAATTTAACCAAAGGATATAGGAAAGAACAAAACAAAACAACAACATCTAGCTTGTAGTAGCTATAAAACAATTTGTGGCTTTCAGAGTAACAGACTTCTGTATCAGTTGCATAATAGTGATTATTTATTCATGGAGTCTTTATTTCCATGGAAACACTGAGATCATTTTAATTTTTAATTACACTAGAGTTTACAGTTCCATAGATTTTAACTCTGTAGTAGCAAGTACAGAAGCTAGAGCTTTACCCATTTCCACTTTAAAAAATATAAAGGAGGAAGAGAGGGTTTAAAATGATCATGAATTTCATTTAGTACAACGTTTAGCTGTATAATTTCTCCTAAACCAGCCCTGCAATTTTATGTCCAATTAATTCTTTGATTTTTGTCTCTACCCTTTGACTAAAAGTGTTTTCACAGGAAATAACTACAGTGTGAAATTCAGCAATGGGTGCTGTTAAGTAGTTTGTGAGATATCTAAAGTTGTTGTGAAGTAGTAGAAGCAGAGGACTAGATCTGCCACTTAGCTGAATTAGGTGAATCACTTTATTTCTCTGGCCCTCGATTTCTTCCTCTGCAACCTGGGGACTGACGTTGGATGATAGAATTCAGTGGTTCTCTGAAATAGCTTGGCTATGTGGTGCCCAGGACCTGTGGCAACTATCCCCATGGGCCCTACAAATATGTTGATATTTCTCATGATAGGAGTATTTCTCAACAGGGACTGGAAGCAGAACATTAATAAAAAGCTATTAAGTGGAATAATTTGTTCACGAAGTAGGTCTGATGAAGATTTTATAGATACGAAATCTTTTTTTTTTTTTTTTACCCCCTTTCTAAATCATTAAATTTCCTGATATATAAGTTTTACAGATTTGGTTCCTATTTGATCAGGTGATTTTCAGAGTGGAAACGATGTTACTGTAGTTGTTCTAATTTATTACTAGTTGTTGTTAATCTCTTACTGTGCCTAATCTATAAATTAAAATTTATTATAGTTATGTATAGGAAAAAACATGGTATGTATAGGGTTTAGTATTATCCATGGTTTTAGGCATCCATTGAGGGTCTTGGAACATTTCTCCCATGGATAAGAGAGGATTACGGTAATTTGTCTTCTTTAAACATAATTTGGATCATATGCAGTTATAAATCCTACTTTTTAAAAAAAAATGAACACTACATTGTATTAAAGGTTTCTTCAAAATGTTTTTAATTGATGCATTATATTGCATAACATGTTTTTCACATCTATGTTATTCATCCTCAGATTGTTGAAAATTTAGATATTTTCAATATTTTTAATGCCAGGGCGCCTGGGTGGCTCAGTTGGTTAAGCGACTGCCTTCGGCTCAGGTCATGATCCTGGAGTCCCGGGATCGAGTCCCACATCGGGCTCCCTGCTCAGCAGGGAGTCTGCTTCTCCCTCTGACCCTCTTCCCTCTCATGCTCTCTGTCTCTCATTCTCTCTCTCTCAAATAAATAAATAAAATCTTTAAAAAAAATATTTTTAATGCCAAATATTTTTTGTATAAAAGTCAGTTTTTGCATCTCTGACTACTATGTTTTTGGTTTGGATTCCTACACATAAAATAACTGTTTGAACAGCATAAGCATTTTTACTCTTGGTAATATTATCAAATTTTTTTCCATAAGTGTTTGTCTATCTCAAAGTAATTTTTGATTGTGCATTTAATCACGTCCTCGTGAGAATTAAATACGATAATTTAAAGACTTTTCTAATTTGAAATACCTTTTGTTCAGATTAACATTTTTTATTAGTGAAGTGTTTTCATATCCACTAGCCCATTTTTATATTGCAATTCAGTTAAAAAATCAATTTCTGTTGGCCTTGTATTTTAAAAAAGTTAAAAAACATATCTTTTTTTATTTTTCATTTTTAAATTTTTTTTGAGATCTTTGAATCATTTGATTTATTAAATCAATGAAAAACATTTAGGGAAAAGCAGTAGGAAAGAGATGGAGAAAGTTAACTCTCTTAGTTTAGGGTGTAAATCAGTGTAATCAGTGGAAGAACTGCCCGATGTGAATCCTGTGTTATGTAATGTTTGTAAATCCTACCTTTCTCTCGGCAGTCCTTTGTTTATTTTTTAAAAACATGTTTATGGGATCATTGTTTTTCTTTTATTACTCGAGTAGATCTCTAGTTGTAAAAGATTCAAATATGGAAGCATACATAGGAAATTACTTCCTCCCTGACACACTTCCTTATAGATAACCATTATCAACAGCATTTTAAAGTACAGTATTCCTATTCTTATTCTACTAATATGTACATATCTCCATATTCTTTAAATATGTATATATAAATATACATGGATATATATATAAATGTAAATGGATCATATAATACCTACTATTCAGAATCTTAGTTTCTTTACCTAATAGTATGTCATCAAGAGCTTCCTTTTTCTCCCTACAATCTAAGAAGCATCCTTTCCCTCATTATATACATGACACATGATCATAATAAAAAATTTGATTAAGATATGAAAGATGTTTTTAAAATAATAAAAATCACCTGAAATCAGTCCAGAGATAACCACCATTAATATTTCGGCAATCATTCTTTCATGCATCTCTTAATAGATCTTAAGTAATTAATGTTTATTCTGACACCAACTGGTATACTGCAATTCAGTTCTAGCATTAACCACTCAAAGTTAGCACAGACCATACAAATTTAAAGGCATGGTCTCCAACAAGACTGCCCCTACTTCAGATACCAGTCAAAAGTGGGGTCCCCAGGCCACCTGCATGTCCAGCTGCCTACAAATCTGGGGCAATCCCATGACCCCTGAAGGTTTGATAATTTGCTGGAATGACTGAGAACTATACTTAACAGGGCGCCTGGGTGGCTCAGTTGGTTAGGCGACTGCCTTCGGCTCAGGTCATGATCCTGGAGTCCCGGGATTGAGTCCCGCATCGGGCTCCCTGCTCAGCAGGGAGTCTGCTTCTCCCTCTGACCTTCCCCCCTCTCATGCTCTCTCTCTCTATCTCATTCTCTCTCTCAAATAAATAAATAAAATCTTAAAAAAAAAAGAACTATACTTAACAATTACTGTTTATTAGAAAACTACAAGACAGAAACAGCCTAATAGGAGACATTTAAGGTGAGGTCTGGGAGAGTCCTGAATGCCGAGGTTCCCATACTTTTTTCCTCATGGAATCAGGGCACTTCACCCTCCCATCATATCAATGTGCTCACCAACCAGGAACGACCACTGAGCTTCATGACTGGAGCTTGTATTGGAGTTTCATTACATAGACACAATTGATTAAATCATTGGCCTATGATGGAACTCATTCTCCAGCCCCCTCCTTTTCCCAGAGGTCAGGAGGTTGAGTTGATATCATGTGACTCAAAGCCCCAAAATTCTAATCACATGGTTGGTCTTTCAGGCATGGCCAGCTATCCTGAACTATCCTGAAGGTATCTAGGGCCCACCATGAGTAACCTCATTTGCATAAATTCAGATGTGATCCAAAGGGCTCATGAATAACAGAGACATTCCTTTTACTTGTGAAATTCTTAGTTTACTCCCAGGAACCAAAGACAAAGGTGAGTTAAATTCTTTATTATACAGAAGTGTCATATATAGTTTGTTTTTTATTATAGATGCCTATTTTTGTCTCTGACTTCTTACTGTGTCTATCTCATTTTTTCCCCAAGGCTACAGTATGAAACTTAACATGTTTTATATTTTAATGTATTAACTCTGTCTATAAGTAGTTCTTTTTCCCATTTTCTAGTTTGCCCTTTAATTTGGTAATTAAAATGCTTAGTCCTATGCATAGTCCTTCCCCTTTAGACAGTAAATAAATATCTAAACCTTTTTACAGCTTTTAAGTCTTTTTTTCCCCCATATATTGAACTTATTTCAGTACAGAGTACAGGTAAAATTTAAATGGAGTTTTGGGGTTTTTTTGTTGTTGTTGTTGTTTTTTTATAAGTAACCAATTGTCCCAACACAATGAATTTTCATTTTTCAGATTCACCCTTGCCAGGAGTGGGTGAGTTGTAAGGAATTACGGGTTTGATATGTTGTGAGGAAGGTATTATTATCCCCATTTTTTAGATGAAGACAGATTCAAAGTGATTGAATAATTTTCCCCAGTTTATCTGGAAAGGGCAGAATTGTCTATCTGAATCTGAAGCCTAAAAAACACATTTATTAAATACATTTTTTTGAAAAGTGCATTTAATAGCCAACATTTGAGTCACGTGTAAGTACCAAATGACTTAGTGGGTCATGGCTAGCTATCTGGAAAGTCAGAGCCTGTCCTAGCAGCACTCCACAAGAAGCTGGATCAGAGGAGACAGATCCAAGATGTCAGGAAACCCCTGACCAACTAAGGAGGAAAAGGCTCCAAACCCTGCTTCTAAGAAATCCTTGCCTTGAGTAATGAGTATGCCACCCCCTAGTCAACAACTGTCACTAAAAGATAGAAACCCAAACTCAAGAGTCACAGCTCCCATGCTTGTTCTTTCTTTCTCACTCTCACTCTCGCTCTCTTTTTTCAATTCCAGTATAGTGAGACATACAGGGTTATATTATTTTCAGGTGTACAATGTAGTGATTCAAAAATTCTATACATTACTCAGTACTCATCATGGTAAGTGCGCTCCTTCATCCCCATCACCTATTTCACCCATCCCCCCACCTCCCTCCCCTCCGGTAACCACCATTTTCTTCTCTATAGTTAACAGTCTGTTTCTTGGTTTGTCTCTCTCTTTTTTCCTCTTTGTTTGTTTGATTTGTTTCTTAAATTTTACATATGAGTGAAATCATATGGTATTTGTCTTTCTTTGACTTATTTCGCTTAGCATTATACTCTCTAGCTCTATTCATGTTGTTGCAAATGGCAAGATTTCATTCTTTTTTTTTAAAGATTTTATTTATTTATTCATGAGAGACAGAGAGAGAGAGAGAGAGAGAGAGGCAGAGGGAGAAGCAGGCTCCCAAGGAGCAGGGAACCCGATGCGGGACTCGATCCCAGGACCCTGGGATCATGACCTGAGCCGAAGGCAGACGCCCAACCATCTGAGCCACCCAGGAGCCCAAGATTTCATTCTTTTTGATGACTAATATATATATATATTAGTCATTTTATCACCCCTTATTTTTCCATTCATCTGTTCATGGACATCTGGGCTGTTTCCATAATTTGGCTATTGTTGAAAATGTTGCTATAAGCATCAGTGTTTGTATCCCTTCAAATGTATGTATGTATCCCTTCAAATCAGCATTTTTGTATCCTTTGGGTAAATACCTAGTAGTGTGATTGCTGGATCATAGGATAGTTCTATTTTTAACTTTCTGAGGAATCTCCGTACTGTTCTCCAGAATGGCTGTACCAGTTTGCATTCCCACCAGCAGTGCAAGAGGGTTTCCCTTTCTCTGCATCCTTGCCAACACCTATATCCTTTGTGTTGTTGATTTTAGCCCTTCTGACAGGTGTGAAATGATATCTTATTGTAGTTTTGATTTGCATTTTCCTGATGATGAGTGATGTTGAACATCTCTTCATGTGTCTTTTGGCCATTTGTATATCTTCTTTGGAGAAATGTCTGTTCGTGTCTTCTACCCATTTTTAATTGGGTTAATTTTTTTAGGTGTTGAGTTGTATAAGTTCTTTATATATTTTGGACACTAACCCTTTATTTGATATGTCATTTGCTTTTTTTTTTTTTAAAGATTTTATTTATTTATTTATTAGAGAGTGAGAGAGAGAGAGAGAGAGAGAGAGAAACAGCATGAGAGGGGAAAGGGTCAGAGGGAGAAGCAGGCTCCCCACTGAGCCGGGAGCCCGATGCGGGGCTCGATCCCAGGACTCCGGGATCATGACCTGAGCCGAAGGCAGTCGCTTAACCAACTGAGCCACCCAGGCACCCCGATATGTCATTTGCTAATATCTTCTCCCATTCTATAGGTTTCCTTTTTCATTTTGTTGACTGTTTGCTGTGCAAAAAGCTCTTTATTTTGTTGTAGTCCCAGCAGTTTTGTTTTGTTTTGTTTGCTTTTGTTTCCCCTATCTCAGGAGATGTATGTAGAAAGATATTGCTATGGTTGATGTCAGAGAAATTACTGACTGTGCTCTCTCTTCTAGGATTTTTATGGTTTCAGGTCTCACATTTAGGTCCTTACTCCATTTTGAGTTTATTTTTGTCTATGATATAAGAAAGTGGTCCTGTTTCTTTCTTTTCATGTAGCTGTCCAGTTTTCTCAATACCATTTGTTGAAGAGATTGTCCTTTTACCATTGGATATCCTTTCCTACTTTGTCAAAGATTAATTGACCATATAGTTGTGGGTTTATATCTGGGTTTTCTATTCCATTCCATTGATCTATGTGTCTATTTGTGGTACAGTACCATGCTCTTTTGATTACTAGAGCTTTGTAATATAACTTGAAATCCGGAATTGTGATGCTTCAAGCTTTGGTTTTCTTTTTCAAGATTGCTTGGGCTATTCAGGATCTTTTGAGGTTCCATACAAATTTTAGGATTGTTCATTCTAGTTCTGTGAAAAATACTGTTGGTATTTTGATAGGAATGTTTAAATCTGTAGATTGTCTTGGGTAGTAATGACAGTTTAACAATATTTGTTCTTCCAATCCGTGAGCATGAATTGTCTTTCCATTTCTTTGTGTTATCTTCAATTTCTTTCATCAGTGTTTTATAGGTTTCAGAGTACAGGTCTTTCACCTCTTTGGTTAGGTCTATTCTTAGGTATCTTATTATTTTTGGTGCAATTGTAAATGAGATTGTTCTTAATTTCTCTTCTGCTGCTTCATTATTGGTGTATAGAAATGCAACAGATTTCTGTACATTGATTTTGTATCTTGCAATTTTACTGAATTCATTTATCAGTTCTTACAGTTCTTTTGGTGGAGTCTTTGAATTTTCTATATGTAGTATCATGCCATCTGCAATAGTGAATGTTTGCTTCTTCCTTAATGATTTGGGGCCTTTTATTTCTTTCTGTTGTCTGATGGCTGTGGCTAGGATTTCCAGGCCTATGTTGAATAAAGTGATGAGAGTGGATTTCTTTGTCTTGTTTCTAACCATTGGGGAAAAGTTCTCAGTTTTTCCCCATTGAGTTTGATGTTAGCTGTGGGTTTTTCATATAAGGCCTTTATTATGTTGAGGTATATTCCTTTTAAACCTACTTTGTCGAAGATTTTTATCATGAATGGATGTTGTACTTTGTCAAATGCTTTTTCTGCATCTATTGACGTGATCATATGGTTTTTATCCTTTTTCTTATTGATGTACTATATCTCACTGATTTATTTGGGAATATTGAACCACAGTTGCATCCCAGGAATAAATCCCATGTGATCATGGTGAATGATTATTTTAATGTTTTGTTGGACTTGGTTTGTTAGTACTTTGTTGAGGATTTTTATATATATGTTCATCAGAGATACCGCCCTATAGTTCTCTTTTTTTGTGGTGTCTTTATCTGGTTTTCGTATCAGGGTGATAGTATATTCACAGAATGAGTTTGGAAGTTTTCTTTCCTCTTCTGTTTTTTTGCAATAGTTTAAGAAGAATGGATATTAACTCTTCTTTAAATGTTTGGTAGAATTCTCTTGTGAAGCCATCTGGTCCTGGATTTTTGTTTTGGGGGAGTTTTTTTGATTACTGATTCAATTTCATTGCTGGTAATCTGTGTGTTCAAATTTTCTATTCTTCCTGATTCAGTTTTGGGAAGTTATATGTTTCTAGGAATTTTTTTTTTTGCTTTAAATTTTTTATTGTTATGTTAATCACCATACATTACATCATTAGTTTTTGATGTAGCGTTCCATGATTCATTGTTTGTGTATAACACCCAGTGCTCCACGCAGAACGTGCCCTCTTTAATACCCATCACCAGGCTAACCCATCCCCCCACCCCCCTCCCCTCTAGAACCTCAGTTTGTTTTTCAGAGTCCATCGTCTCTCATGGTTCATCTCCCCCTCCGATTTCCCCCCCTTCATTCTTCCCCTCCTGCTATCTTCTTCGTCTTTTTTTTTTCTTAACATATATTGCATTATTTGTTTCAGAGGTACAAAGCTGTCATCATCAAGACAGTATGGTACTGGCACAAAAACAGACACATAGATCAATGGAACAGAATAGAGAGCCCAGAAATGGACCCTCAACTCTATGGTCAACTAATCTTTGACAAAGCAGGAAAGAATGTCCAATGGAAAAAAGACAGTCTCTTCAACAAATGGTTTTGGGAAAATTGGACAGCCACATGCAGAAGAATGAAACTGGACCATTTCCTTACACCACACACAAAAATAGACTCCAAATAGTTGAAAGACCTAAATGTGAGACAGGAGTCCATCAAAATCCTAAAGGAGAACACAGGCAGCAACCTCTTCGACCTCAGCTGCAGCAACTTCTTCCTAAAAACATCGCCAAAGGCAAGGGAAGCAAGGGCAAAAATGAGCTGTTGGGATTTCATCAAGATAAAAAGCTTTTGCACAGCAAAAATGTTTCTAGGAATTTATCCATTTCTTCTAGGTTGTCCAATTTGTTGGCATATAATTTTTCATAATATTCTCTTATAATTATTTGTATTTCCTTGGTGTTGGTTGTTATTTCTCCTTTCATTTGTGATTTTGTTCTCTTTCCCTCTCTCTCCCTCTCTCAAGCTCATCTGCTCTCACATCTCAAGAGTATACTTTCACTTTAATAAACTTTCCTGCTTGTGTTGCTCCTTTGCTGTCCTGTGTCTGTCTTTGAATTCTTTCTTGTGATGAGAACAAGAACCTTCAGCAACCTCTTTGGGATGGGCTGGGTCAAGGTCCCATGGCCTGGGGTCTCCCAAGTTCACTTGGCAACAATTTAACTTATATTTACTTTACCTGGTTCCAAAATGTGATAATAGATAACATTGATTGAGTGCCAGATGCTTTATATTCATCAGTTAATCCTCACACCTGGCCTGGGTATTATTATCCCTATTTTATGGAAGAAAAACAGGTAGATTAAGTACCTTGCCCAAGATTATACATAGCTAGGAAGCCAAGAATCAAAGATCTAAACCCAAGACTTTTTTTCCCCCAAAGTCTGTGTTACAATCAGATTTAACTCTAAACAATTTGTGAACTATTAAATTCACCATATGGAAGAGTATACTCTTGCCAACCTAGGGTCTATAAATTAAAAGATAAGGGACTGTAGGATATGCATTAATATATTAATTGTGGTTTTAATTTGCATTTCCTTAAGTGCAATGAGTTTGAGTACCTTTTCAATATTTGTTCACCATTTGTATTTCCCTTCCTGTGAATGGCCAATCCAAACATTTTGCTCATTTAAAAACTTAGTTTCTTCTCAAGAAACAAGAAAGGTCTCAAATACACAACCTAACTTTATACCTAAAGGAGCTAGAGAAAGAACAGCAAATAAAGCCTAAACCCAGCAGGAGAAGAGAAATACTGAAGATTAGAGCAGAAATCAATGAAATAGAAACCAAAAGAACAGTAGAAGAGATCAACAAAATTAGGAGCTGGTTCTTTGAAAGAATTAATAAGATCGATAAACCCCTGGCCAGACTTATCAAAAAGAAAAGAGAAAGGACCCAAATAAATAAAATCATGAATGAAAGAGGAGATATCACAACCAACACCAAAGAAATACAAACAATTATAAGAACATATTATGGGCAACTATATGCCAACAAATTAGATAATCTGGAAGAAATGGATGCATTCCTAGAGACATATGAACCAGCAAAACTGAACCAGGAAGAAACAGAACACCTGAACAGACCCATAGCCAGCAAGGAAATTGAAGTAGTAATCAAAAATCTCCCAACAAACAAGAGTCCAGGGCCAGATGGCTTCCCAGGGGAATTCTACCAAACATTTAAAGCAGAATTAATACCATTCTTCTGAAGTGGTTTCAAAAAAAAGGAAAGAAAGAAAGAAATGGAAGGAAAACTTCCAAAATCTTTCTATGAGGCCAGCATTACCTTGATAGATCCCAAAACCAAAGACCCCACCAAAAAGGAGACTTACAGACTAATATCCCTGATGAACATGGATGCAAAAATTCTCACCAAGATACTAGCCAATAGGATCCAACAGTACATTAAAAGGATTATTCACCACAACCAAGTGGGATTTATCCCTGGGCTGCAAGGGTGGTTCAACATCTGCAAATCAATCAATGTGATACACTACATTAATAAAAGAAAGGACAAGAACCATATGATCCTCTCAATAGATGCAGAAAAAACATTTGACAAAGTACAGTATCTTTTCTTGATTAAAAATCTTCAAAGTGTAGGGATAGAGGGAACATACCTCAATATTATAAAAGCCATATATGAAAAGCCCACAGCAAATATCATTCTCAATGGCAAAAAAACTGAGAGCTTTTCCCCTAAGGTCAGGAACATGACAGGGATGCCTATTATCATCACTGTTGTTCAACATAGTACTAGAAGTCCTAGCCTCAGCAATCAGACAACAAAAAGAAAGAAAAGAAATCCAAATCGAGAAAGAAGTCAAACTCTCACTCTTTGCAGATGACAAACTCTCACTCTTCCACTCTATGTGGAAAACCCAAAAGATTCCACCCCAAAATTGCTAGAACTCATACAGGAATTCAGCGAAGTGGCAGGATATAAAATCAATGCACAGAAATAAATTGGATTTCTATGCACTAACAATGAGACAGAAGAAAGAGAAATTAAGGAGTCAGGCCCATTTACAATTGCACCCCAAAACCATAAGATACCTAGGAATAAACCGAACCTAAGAGGCAAAGGATCTGTACTCAGAAAACTATAGAACACTCATGAAAGAAATTGAGGAAGACACAAACAAGTGGAAAAACATTCCATGCTCATGGATTGAAGAACAAATGTCACTAAATGTAGGTAACATAGGCTACCTAGAGCAATCTACACCTTCAGTGCAATCCCTATCAAAATACCATCCACTCTTTTCACAGAGCTGGACAAATAATCCTAAAATTAGTATGAAACTAGAAAAGACCCGAAATAGCCAAAGGAATGTTGAAAAAGAAAACCAAAGCTGGTGGCATCAAAATTCCAGACTTCAAGCTTTATTACAAAGCTGTAATCATCAAGACAGTATGGTACAGGCACAAAAACAGACAGAAACCCAGAAATGGACCCTCAATTCTATGGTCAACTAATCTTTGACAAAGCAAGAAAGAATATCCAATGGAAAAAGACAGTCTCTTCAAGAAGTGATGTTGGGGAAATTGGACAGCCACATGCAAAAGACTGAAGTTGGACTGTTTCTTTACAGCATACACAAAAATAGACTCAAAATGGAGGACAGACCTAAATGTGGGAGACAGGAATCCATCAGAATCCTAGAGGAGAACACAGGCAGCAACCTCTGTGACCTCGGCCACAACAATTTCTTGCTAGACACATAGCCAAAGGCAAGGGAAACAAAGGCAAAAAATGAACTTTTGGGACTTCATCAATATAAAAAGCTTTTGCACAGCAAAGAAACAGTCAACAAAGCCAAAAGACAACCAACAGAATGGGAGAAGAATATTTGCAAATGTCTTATCAGATAAAGGGCTAGTATCCAAAACCTATAAAGAACTTACCAAACTCAACACCCAAAGAACAACTACTCCAATCAAGAAATGGGCAGAAGACATGAACATTTCTCCAAAGAAGACATACAAATGGCAAACAGACACATGAAAAAGTGCTGAACATCGCTTGGCATCAGGGAAATACAAATCAAAACCACAATGAGATACCACCTCACACCAGTCAGAAGGGCTAAAATTGACAAGTCAGGAAACGACAGATGTTGGCGAGGATGCGGAGAAAGGGTAACCCTCCTACATTGTTCGTGGGAATGCAAGCTGGTGCAGCCACTCTGGAAAGAAGTATGGAGGTTCCTCAAAAAGTTGAAAATAGAGCTACCCTACAACCCAGCAATTGCACTAGTAGGTATTTACCCCAAAGATACAAATGTAGTGATTTGAAGGGGCACCTGCACCCCAATGTTCATAGCAGTAATGTCCACAATAGCTAAACTATGGGAAGAGTCCAAATGAATGGATTGACAGATGAATGGGTAAAGAAGATGTGGTGTGTATACACACACACACACACACACACACACACACACACACACACACACACA